TGCAAATTTTGAAAAAATGAAGGGACACGCTGTACTGGATGTTGGACTCATACTCACATACTGCTGAAACTTTGAGCTGAAGGAATAACAATTAACCGTTTCATTGAAAAGTACTGTATTGTAATTAAATTAAAATCCTATTGAAGTTCAGCTATTTGGATCTGAAAAATAGCTGTGCCATTGTATAATAAAACATTTGTTAAAAGGTTCAGGTACAATATTGCAGGGAGGGAGCTGTACCCAATCAAATGTGTATGGAATCAATCTGTTGCGCAGCAGGTGGACTCTGTAAAGTCTGAATACTGTACAGTACAGTACTCTTAAAATGCCGGTGAATACAGTATACAGTACAATATAAGTTATACATCTATGTTTTTGTGTTGAGAGCCATGTTGGTTCTTATTATTTGCTTCCTGTTCAGATTTTTCCACTGGCCTCCCCCTGGCTGGGCAGAAGATTAACTATGGCGAAAGTGTACAGGTTAAAGCACGCTTTGCATTAGTGCGACCCCTATGAAACAGCTGGAAATTATGAAGTGTCGTACAGTTTCACCACATAGTAGTGCATGGCTTCCCTAAACAGCCGCACGAAAATAAACAAACTTGCCCGTCATGGAACCATTTTGTGGTCCGAGCACTGTACTGTACAAGATCGACGAGGTATAGCAATGTGTTGTACATGCTCGATATTGGCTATAATTAAATCATAAAACAGTCGAAGTGATGAGAAACTAAAATGTGTGAACTGATGAATGAATAAGTTCTGGGAGGCATGATCGACTTTCCGACGAGTTTAAATGTTATAATTTTGTTCACTCAATGATGAGATGCTGTGTGTCTATTTTTTTCATGTCGTGTCGACCACTTCGAAGTTCTTCTGGAATACACTCATGCAAAGATTGGCAGTGATTGGCGCGAATTTTTGATGACGGTGAATGTGCATCCTCGGCGAGTTGCAAGTATATCTCACCGTCCATAAAGCCAGAGGACAAGCTTTACGTCACAGTTTCTAGTTATTTTCTGGAAATGCTTTGATTTTGCGGAATTTTGCCCAATGGCGGTAATTTTTGAAATCGAAACGTAGCGAACTTCAGCTTGCATGTATGTGACTGTTTTCTATCAACAGATGTGCCTTATTCTTGAGTGTACGTGATTCGGTGCGTTGACGAAAAAATTACTTTCCGAAAGCTATTTTTCGCTATGGTTATGTGAACGTCCCCTGTGCCTCTGTCATTGTGATATTACCAAAATTCAGCCGATCGACATTTCAGCAGAAACCGTCTCCAACACAATGGAGACCATTTCATCGTTGCAAGCGTATCATCTTCGATGGAACAATCATCAAGAAAGCTTGCTGCACGTATTTGACAAGCTGTTGCAAAGTGAAGACTTTGTGGACGTTACTCTGTGTTGTCAGGGGCAAAATATCCGGGCGCACCGCATGGTCCTTTCAGCGTGCAGCCCATTCTTCCATGATCTTCTTCGGGAACACCCTGGAAAGCACCCAATAATTATCCTCAACGATGTGATGTACGAGGATCTATCGGTGCTCATGCAATTCATGTACAAAGGAGAAGTCGACGTTGCCGCGGAGTGCCTTGAGTCCGTGTTGCATGCTGCCCATATTCTCGGAATCAAGGGATTGGGGAGGAAGGCTTCTCCGTCCCCTGGTCGAAAACCTGCTCTGCCTACTCCGAATTTTGTAAAAACTGTGAAACCAAGTTACCCCCAGCCACTGAAAGTCCCGCTACTTGATCAAATATTGAAAGAATCCCTTGCTGACACGTCCATGTCACTGAAACGGTGCAACATTACACCATCCATGCGACGCATTTTGTGTACGGAGAGGGTTACCGAGGAAGGTAGCGTGTATCCTATCATTCCTCCTTGCAACGGGAAACCGGCGATGTGTCCAAAACGCACTCGCTACTCAGATGAATCTCTCAACGACACCGCGGAGGAAAGTGAAGCTTCTGTGGATGCTGACGATGCCGACGACGTGACTTCCAAGCTCAAAGTGCAGATAGAAGAAGATGCTTCTTGTGGAAC